TTGCGCTCCTCGTAGGAAATGAGTGACGTTGCAAATCGAGGCGCGGTTTTCTAAGTAGAACCGGGGGGAGAAAAGGATGAACCAATTGTCGTTTTCCTCACGAAAGAACGTAACTAAACGTCAATGTTGCCAAATGTCCTCGCGCGAATTGAGTTTTTACAATGAGAATTTTGGGAGTTTTTAGCTGAAAATTACACTGATTTTTCATCCCATCTCGTGCAAAAATTAGGAAATTTTTCAATGAAAATTGCGTAGGTTTAATCCATGTAAAAAATATGATCATTTGAGTCGATTTCGGAACCTTGGAATGGAGTTACGTTCCTTCGTCCAGGAGACGACGATTATGTCGCATCATTCGGGAGTACAACAGCAAATCAATCAACAGTCGATCCATTCATTGGTTAATTTGTGAATTTCTGTTGAATGATGTTGTTTTACTCCGTCACTTTCGGCTGTACTTTCCTTTCTCCCGGCTCCACATATGGATCAGTGGCGAGGCGTGATAATCGACTATCGATATTATCCTGTTTGAAGCTACGGTGAAGAATCTATTATTGTGCGGTGTTCATTGCGAAAGCCCCAATAATCTATTTTTTCCATAGGTTTGAATGACATATGAATCGATTTATCGCAAAGTACGCCTCGCCATTGCTATCGATGTGTGTATATGCTCACATAAACTCGTCATGTAGTCTGCCGTGCCAAGGAAGAACGCCGTATGAGCCACGAGGCGTTGCCAAATTACCTTTGATAAAATACGAATTTCCTGGTAAACTTTTGAACATTTTCTTTCCAATTTTTCCGATAATTTTGTTCACAATTTCCCCTAAAGTTCCTGAAAATTTCAAGGAAAAATATTAATAACTTTCCTAAAAAATAAACGTTTTATCGAAATAAATTTGGCAACTCTCGAATGTTCATATGGCGTTCGTCTTTAGCACGGCAGTAGTGCACACACCATTGCTACAAATACAGATGGTGCCTCGAGGTGAAGCCTCCCGCAGACAAACGAATGATACAAATTGTGAGTTGGGTCACATATCTAAACGCGAATCGCACACCATTCCATCATATTTCAATATTTGAATGATCTCCCGTATGGTGTTAGGAAACTCCCTGCCAACTCTTACAGGAAGCTTCATTCTCCGCAACTAGAACTTCGTGACTTGCTCCTTCCTTCCCCCTCCCTGCGGCACAAAGCACTGACCTCGTTCAAATCCAACATTGAAACGATGGTCTTCTATTGGCAATAGAGTATTCTGCTGTGCTAAGGGAAAACGCCGCATGAGCCTTCAGGCGTTGCCAAATTTCATTTGATAAAACTCGAATTTCCTGGTAAACTTATGAATATTTTTCTTCCAATTTTTCCGATAATTTAGTTCGCGATTCCACCTGAAAGTCCTGAAAATTTCAAGGAAAAATATGCATTATTTTCTTTAACAATGAACGTTTCATCGAAGGAAATTTGGCAACTCTCGAATGTTCATACGGTGTTCTTCCTTAGCACGGCAGTATTGCTGACGTTCTTGCAAAGGAGTTGCTTTTCTTCGGTCGTACCTATGCCGGTTCAGTGAACTATTTTTTCAAGGATTGCTTTCCAGTCGGGTCAATCCACCGCAGATTACAAGCACTGCTCCGTCAAGAGCATGTTACTATTATATCTGAAATCAACGGATCTTTCTTGAATGCGTCCCTTTCCGAAAGAGGAGAGGAAGCCAAGGATAATTCTGCCGTCATAGCGGAGAGAACCGTAATTCACAAATTTTCGAAATCGAGTTTCCTTCAAAATTTGTCTAATCTCTTTTAGATGAAATCGCTGAAATAACTAAAACAGCAAAATTCGTCTCATCTGTATGAAAACGAGACATATCAACGGCGTAAGTCCGCAATCACATAGGTATCTTGTTTGCGGTGTCTGAAGATCTCCGCCTCCATGTCACTTTTTTAAAGTATAACAAATTGACATCATTCCTTCAAGTTTTTGCAGAATTTTTCTCGCACAGAGAAGTGAAATCACGGCACTTTTAAAGAATTGCTGTTGATAGTTTGCCGTTGAAAAAATAAAGTATGACAGGAAGTCTATGACGTCGCAAACCGAGTTATGTGATTGCCGACTTACACCGTCGAATTGAGGAAGCTGCAAGTGCGCCAAAGATGACGTAGTTTTCAGACAAAGCAGTTATTATTTCTCTAGAGAGGCAATAAAAACAGTGCTTTCAAGTAAAATTCCGTCCTTTTCTGCCATTTCTAACCTGAAAATGTGTTTGTTGTGTGTCTAAAACACAACCATTTAAGTATGCAGGTGATAGCACTTACGGCTGTCTTGCGTGACATTTACGTAACATGTGTTAGGGAGCCTATTCCCGTTTTCTCAAAACTTCATTTTTCACTCACGGCTTTTTTCGCTATCACGTCGGAATTTGGGGATCTGCGATTACTGATGCATTACTTCACGCTGAAGTTTGCAGTCTTAGGCAACCCCCTCCCCCTCCCTGGGCGGCACCCGAATCGATCCAAGTATTAACGAATAACTGCAGCAAATAACGTAAATTTGGAACAGTACGCTAGAAAAATATGTGCTTAAAAGTTAAGCGCCTCTCTAACTTCTATCGTTTCGAAAAATTCATCTTCTCACCGATACGCAGTTTACGCTATTCTATCGGTCTATTCCTTATACTGCCATGTGAAGGAGAAACGATGCATCAACATTCGAATGTTGCCAATTTACCTCCAATGAAATGTTCATATTTGAGGAAAATTATGGATATTTACCCTAGAAATTGTCAAATACTTCATTTTAAATGCTCAACAAAATTCGCTAATGAACTGGAATAAAAAAAAAATTTACAGGTTTTCCAAAAAATTAATATCTTATGAGGAAAAAATTAACATCATCCAAAGCGCTTACGGCATTTTTCTGTAACGCGATCTGTGACGAGGCGTGAATCATCGAATATCGATAATTCCTCATTTGAGGCTATGGTAAATAATCGATTCAGTGTGATGCTCCTCAATTTTTAACTATGGTAAAGAATCGATTATTGAGGCGTTCGTTGCAAACATGCGCCCTGATTTTCGATCCTTTTCCATCAGTTGAAATGACAGATCAATCCTTATATTGGAAAGCACGCCAAACCACTGAATCGATTATTAAGGTGTTGGTTGCGGACAGCCTGTTTATCGATCCTTTGCCATAGGTTTAAATGGTAGATCAATCGATTGAATAAATCGTTGGTTTTTCCTGGAAGTTGGTGAATGAGCTGTATTATCCGGCAACTCGGTCGTTGGTATCTCAAAGATTAAAAGCTCATACTCATCGGAAGTTATCTCACAGTTGCGGGTACTCATCGGCGGATCGAACGCCGATCTGAATATCACCCGTTTGAGTGTTGCCGTTTCTGGGTGGAGGATTCGCAATTTTGCATGTCGCCCCTTCCGTCCTGACTGAAATTCAAGTGTCGAAAATGTTCAGAAGTCGCAAGTACAAATACGCTAGTCTCTCGCCGAATTTCAACGTTTTCGATATGGACGGGCCCGTTTCGTGCTTCTGTAGGTCTGTAGCCATGGTTCCTTTACTCATTAATATTCATTGATCAATTGGACTATCAATTGGTCAGTTGCGCTGGTCACAGAATCGTGTTTTGATGCTTAATCCTTGTAGATCAGCTAAAAATAATAAGATAGTCTAAACAGCAACTTTCCAAGTACGTCCAATATTAACCGAGATATCGTGCTTTGAAAAATGCGGTTTATGACGTCATCCACTGCGATAGTGACACCCTTGGTTTCCTCCACCTTGCTCACATCCAAGTTTCACGTTGCAAATGTGTGTCTCACATCTTAATCAAAGCAAGGTGGAAGAAACCAAGCAAGGGTGTTACAACTGCGGTGGATGCGTTTTTCAAAACACGATCCATCTCGGTTAATAATATTGGACGTACTTAGGAAGTTGCTGTTTAGACTATCTTATTATATTCAGCTGATCAACAAGAATTAATCATCAAAACGTGATTCTGTGACCAGCGCAACTGACCCATTTCCGGCTCATTTGTAAAAACATATAAGTCTATACGGAAACTAATGGTATTTACGTTGTTTTTAAACTGAGCCAGATATTGTAGTTCTGAATTTCAAAATGTAGTCTTAGGTATACCTAGCACTTTATTGGGTAGTTGAATAGGTTCGCTCAAAATCACACCTTTTAATCGGATCCTTTCTTCAGCTTGAGAAATCATATTGACGTCAAAATAACACATAAAATTTATAGATAAATTGAGGTAGTGTTCCAACTATCATGCATTGAATGAGGTAGTGTTCCAACTATTATGCATTGAATTCTGTACAAAGCTGATTCTCTCAAGACACTGGAGATCAGCTGAGCACAATTTTTGTCGTAGAGTTATGCTGTGTAGTGCAGCATTATATAATGCTGCACTACATGACGAATACAAAGTATAGATACACATAGATACAGCCAATCAGGAAAGCAACTGAGCATGCATTTAGGATATACTTTGATTCGTCATTCATCAGAGCTTTTAATGTATTTTCCGAAGAAAATACACTGTTGCATTTTGTACATTGAAAAGGGTATCGTTTTGAATATTTTTCTTTAAGGGATCACTGAGCCAGATATGCAGAATGTTCTCAGCCTTCCCATGTTTCAAATTTCCCTCCCTTTTCATTATAAAAACCCCTTTTTTCTCTGAAAGAAAGGGATGACGTTAAACTACTCTTTACGTGTAAGTTGCCGCGATTTTGCGAGAAACGTGTGATTTTCACCGCGGCTTGCAGGGGGAAAAATCGCGATTTTGCCGGTCATCCCATTTTTGCACGCGACCGATGGCGTGTCAAGAAATTTTTGCTCTCCTGCACTGAGCTTTAAATATTTCTCATTCCTCATAATTTCTCTTATGAATTAAAAGTACCGAACAGGCACGTTCTCTTGAGATCCCTCTAATTTTAACGCACTAATCAAGTTTTTATTTGTCTGTTTTTAGGAAAGCCCGACGGAAAGACAGAGAGTCGCTTGGGTCAGAGGATCCGAAACTGTACTTAGAACAAGCTGTGTTAGATAGAAGAGTTCCTGATATTGATCTTAAGGTCTTAGTCGAAGCACCTCCTGGTATTTGTCATAATGAATGGCTAGCGTCTCACAGTAAGTATTGATGTGTTTAGGTAATATCATAGATAAAAGAAATTGCAAATTTTCAATCAGAAATGCGAATAACTAATTCTTAATGTTTCCTCAAGGAAACAAGTCAGCTTCATGGTTTCGTGAAAAATTATTGTCCCAACCAGAGTGCATCTTCATAGGTAGGATAATGCACAAATTACACAGTCCAAAAATATGAACCCGAGAGAAAAAAATGAAGAAATTGGTAAAACAAGGCTAAAACATTAAACACCATGAAAAGAACCTTTCAAGCTGTCACATGCTCATTTTTATGTACAAAAACAAGGAACATTAGTGAGAAAATTGAGTGGCAACCAATTAGTTCTTCGCTCGCAAACACTCAGGATGACAACTGAGATCAGGTCGCCACCCAATTCTTTACTAATTTTCATTGTTTTTGCAGGTAAAAAAAAAAAATGAGCCTGTGATGGCTTGAAACATCCTGCAGCCCGATTGGTGAAATTTACGTTGGCACGACAAGAATAAAAAATCGATGAGCTATCTATGTCTTGTCTTATCTTTCCAACATAGCTAGTTAAAGTTTCAACAATCAGGCTGCTGCTGTTTTAGTGTTTTAATATTTTATCTATGTTTTGTCCATTTTTTCATTTTTATTCTCTATTGTTTCATGTCGGGAAATATCTTCAATCCCCATGAATTTTATGTTCTATCTCAAACAGGAAAAACAAATCATATTGACAGCAAAATATTACATAAAATGTATAGATTGATTGAGGTAGCGTTCCGACTATCATGCATTGAATTCAGCATAAAGCTGACTTTCTCAAGACACTGGGAAAAAGCTGAGCTCAATTTTTGTCGTGTGCTGTGTAGTGCAGCATTAGATACAGCCAATCAGGAAAGCAACTGTGCGTGCATTTAGGCTATACTTTCCTAAGTCATTCTGCTTTCAACTATCTAAAGACTGCAGTGGCAAGCAACTTGCGTACCACCTGGTGAAAAGGTTAATTAATTCGTATTGCAAGACTCCTGACTCCTGATGGACGAAGAATCTTTAAACAAAACAAGATTGTAAAATTAAATTAACATAAAAAGTTAATGTAAAATTAAGTTATTGTAAAATTAAGTCTCTTACATTAGTAAGTTCTGATCAACTTAAGGATGATTCCTCTGCACCGAAATCTCTAAATGATGAAAAACTTCGGAGTTCAGTACTGTTGCAAGACATAAAATAATTGATGATAAATTGAAAATTTGATTGCAAGCTTACATGATTTAAAGAAACAAGCTCTCCAAAAGTGTAAACATTTTGTGATCCCTTCCGTATTTGACCAAGTTTAACTAAATGTTTGTTTTTCCAGCTATTGCATTTTTCGACCACATAAACTTAATTTATGGAACTATATCAGAATTTTGTACAGCGCTAGATTGTCCTGAAATGACTGGACCTGGTGTCAGGTATGATGATCTTCAATATCAACCTTATATTACCCCTTTATACCCCTTTTCTGAAACATCGCCCTGCCAAAATTGTTTACCATTCCGAATCACGTTAACTAATTCAGATCTACGTCTCTGGTAGAGCAGATTCTCATAAGGAGAGACTGTGTAGAAAGTAGTGATTTATTTCCATCATTAGCCTTGGAAATGGTTTTTTATTGTTTGAATGCAATTCGATTCAACGTAAACCTCTTTCGCCCTGGCTACACACACCTGGCACAAGGTCAAACGATGATCTTGCAATGACTCAACGTTTGAAAATTAGTCACTCCACTGGAGGCAGTCTTCTCCAGCCTATCACACGCTCTACGCCATCTTTATTTGAGGGGATTCCTGGGGTATGATGGAATAATTAACTCTGAATGGTTTACGAAATGGACATGCAGATCTATGCCATAGACTGTCTAGAGCAAATGCTTATTATAGCCAGTCCTACTTAACCATGTCAATTTTAAAAGCTTATTTCGATCATGTAATAAGGACTATATTATAAAGAATAGGTACCTGTAGTAATGTCACATCCAAACAGTTTATTTGAGCTAAAACCTTTCTTTTGAGACATCTCTGAAGAGCCAGAGCTATCTATTTTATTTTGTTTTTTGTACTTCAACACTTTCATCAACATGCCTAATGTTATGGTAGGTAAGTTATTTGTTATCCCAGAAGTTATGGGTGCACCCATAATTTATGTTGTCATTAAACAATTCATTGCCTGCCTGAAGCTATTCATGGGTTGCATATATTTATAAAAATCAAAAACTGAATATCCTGAAGACTGGTGTCTCATGAAGGAAGAGCTTCTGTTATGGAGTAGTTGTAAGGTGGTCGTTGAGAAATGAGTGAACATTCAACTAACCAAACAAAAGACTCTAGCTGCTGAAAGATCGAGAAATCAACAATTGTAACACTTGAAATAAGAAACTAATTGGCCTCAGATTCAGTTGCTCCCAAAGTATTTTACCACACAATTTAAATTTATTGTATACTAAAGTATGAATTCAGACCACCATTTGACTTAAAAACCTATTAATGAAAGCAACCCAGCTTGTGGTACATCACTGAAAAAAACATTTAAGTAAGAAAATATTTTGTACTGAGAAGTCGGTAACCATTATTTTTTCCAAAAATGGCAGCGAGTCAAAGTTTGAACTTTTTAACTTAATCAGCCCAGCACTTTTAATTAGTGATAGATCCTACAAATCTCCAATTTTCCCAAAATATTTTTTTTAGTCTCTTATTGAAAACAGATCACTTAGAGTGGCTGCCAAACATGCTTACGCATTTTTAGAGTGCAGGGTTGTCGGCGGTCTGTAAAACTGAGAAAGTCAGAGAATTTGCCGCAATCGGAAAAAGCCTGAGACTTAAATGCGTACATAGCTTCCTATCAGAAGTGAGTGTAATTTAAAGGGGGGAAAAATCATCAAAGGGGGAGTTTTATTCGAATGTCAGGGAAAGTCAGAGAATTCCAAAAATTTGGAGTGGGGGGATTTAAAGATGAAGAAATTATGGCAACCCTGAAGTGGGACAGAAGATAATTTGTCTTCAGTAAACACAAGTATCAAGATGGCAGATCTTATGTTGCACTCCAAAAGTGCGTAGACTTTCAAGTATGGACTCAATCACAGATTTAGAAAAGAAAAAAAAAATGTACATCATGATGTAATATCGTCTTTATCAGAGCAGTAATTTGCTGTTTGTTTTCTTTCTATTTTATCATGAATATTAACGCAGATTTTGTTTGATTCAACTTCTTCTGTCCTTTTTTAATGAAAAAAAATTTCTGTATTTTCAGGACATACCTTTGGTTTGACGAAAAAGGGAAGAAGACAAAAGTAGCAGCACCTCAGTACATAGATTATGTTATGACATTTACCCAAAAAACTATCAGTGATGAAAGTATTTTTCCTACAAAATACGGTAAGTTTTCTTCATTATAAAGGAGTTTGGGCAAAGTATAAGGAAAGCACGNGGTTGAAATAGATGCCTATGTACACCTGTGTGCCCCCCCCCCCAAAAAAAATTGCACATGTGACTATTATTGAATTGGATCTTTGAAGTACACAGTAATGAAGTAAGCCTTTTTCCCACAGTAATGTGATTCTAGACTCTAAGTGCATCTTTTCTGTTGAATTGAAGTCTACAAACTATAGGCGTTAATCGGTCAGTCATAAAGACGGGTTTTTTTAAGGAAATAAGATGGCAAGGTTTTCGATCTCTAAAATTCAATTATTGTGTACTGTATGAAAATCCTAAGAGTTTTGAACCTGCAAGTCATACATAAATACTTAGAGATTAAGCCACCTTAGAACAATCGCTGCTGCTCCGTAAAGCAAAAAATACCAAACTGCCAATAACCATACTTTTTAGACAGTCTTGAAACATCTTTCCAGGTAAAATATATTATCTCATTGAATTGATCTAATTGAAGGAGCATTATCTTAAAATGCCTGGTCAACCAAGTATGAAAATATCACATCTCAAATTAGTGGATAGGCTTTTAAAAACCTGTCCGCTGGAAATGATTCTCATGAAAACCAATGTGGATAAGTTGCAGTGATAACCCTCATTTCAATGCATTTGTCTAAATTTGGAGGGAAAATAATTCAATTGCAATTCTGATGACTGTAGTCTGTCCAGAATTTTAGTATATGTCAAATCTGATTTAAATGTTCTATATCAATGGCTACATGCAAAAAATGCGCACCTCAATCACAACATGTTTTGAAATATTTAATAAGATCTTATTTCTTTCCAGAAAGACTGATCAATAGTTTTCTTCCCAAGTTTGTGTGATTTTTTTTAGAATGACTGAAGAAAATTTACAGAAAATTTCATAGAAACTGTTGGTTAGTTCATTTTGAAAACTAAAACTGGAGGAAAGACTTACAATATCACAATCAGAATTGCACATTTTTTTACATGAACCATCTATATGGTGGTGGCCCAGTCCAATGCCCTTGTTATTTGGACCGCATTTTGCAATGAAGAACCATTATTTCTGGCTCATTCATAGAAGCGCTTATCTGCACAAGGAAACCAATGACACACTTTTTCTAAAATGATTCAAAAATGGTAGTTTCTAATTATAAAATGCAGTCCATTGTTCAAACTGGTGAGGAACATGCTTATTGTATAAAAGATGGATTCTTCCATGTACATGTTACTGATCCAAAAATTTTGAAGGCTTTTTTAATACGTGTACTAAATACATGGCTACTCAGCTGCTGCATTCGTAAATCTACCAAGTTTAATCTGTGCGGTAGACTCATCTCCTTTTTGACCGAAGATAAGGGCCAAATAGCTGTGAAGATACCATGTTGCGTATTTACTTCTAATTAACCATGCATTTTCAAGCTCTGGAGGACACCGAAGTTAAAATCTCTTGAGCTAAAAAATTCCTAAGATGAATTTTTGCAGTAGGTAATATTACCAAACCACAAATTACTTGAATCTTCATTTATATGTAAGTTGGGGACTTTTTTCTGCGTAAGACAACGATTATCGAAAATCCTCCTCTACATAATGAAGAATACATACATGAATAGCCATTAAAGAAATTTCCCGAAATTTCAGGAATGCGAATTCTGTAAGTACATTGAAACCAACAATGTTCAAGATGAAGTGAACCTCACTGCAGTAATCAGTTCCAAAAATATTATGGTTTTTAGAAAATATTTAAGCACGAACCATATTCTGAGACAAAATCATTCAACAATTTTCTTATTTTTTATTTGTTTCAGCCAATGATTTTCCTAGCTCGTTTGAATCAATCGTCCGAAAGATTCTCCGCCTTTTATTTCATGTGTTAGCCCATATCTATCATAGTCATTTTCGCGAAGTAGTTCTTTTAAACATGCATCCTGATCTAAATTGTATCTTTGCGCACTTTATATTATTTAATGCTCGTTACCAATTAATTGAGGTGCGAGAAACAGAGACCTTGCAAGATCTTGTTGTAGCTTTAAAAATTCTAGATAATTGTGAGAGCGATCAGACGGAATCGATGGAAATAGGAAGCACAGTGTCAACATCCAATGTAACGCAGGCCTCAATAGATGAGCCTCATAGGCAATCGCAAACAATGTTAGAGGTCTCTGCAACAGCAACGTCAAATATTATGTTCCCTGATTCGAGTTTATCACTGAGTGCATTTTCCTCCTCTAATAATCAAGATGTCCTATCAACACAGATCGGAGTTGGGCATTAGTTTTTCAATGACTCTTACTATTCCTTATCATTAGTTTGTTTTTTTCCTTTTTTCCTCCCCTTAAACAAGAATTATGAAATGATCAGTTTGAATCATCATTTTTTATTTTTTCTTGATGATTTCCTGCACTTATCTTTATCCTAGTCTATTATATTGTTGATGATCAGTGACATTATTGAAGAAAAAACAAAAAAGTATATTTTTGGATTTCCACTAAGCTCTCAAGTTTTGAAGAGGTCAGTTCGAAAAGTTAAAACCTATCCTTTCCTGTTTTTCTGTATTTTTTTATTTTACCGATAAAATAATTAAAATCAGGAAAGGGTGTGATTTCATTATTTTTTTATTGCCAATATTTTCTGTAAGTTACTTTAAATTTGCAAAGAAGCATTCATTCAACAAACATTCTCACAAAGCTCACTAACTGTGCATAGTATTTTAGTCGCGCAGGTTTACTAAAAATGAATTTTGATAATAATTTCTTCGGTGAAAATAATTTTTTAATGATTGATGAGGACTGAGCGTTTGGCAGAAAAACAGCACTTATCACAGTTCTGAAACAAAGAAAAATTCAAGTTTTGGCCTTAACAGAAACACATATATTTGGTAACTTTTAAAACATAGATTAAGAAGACGAATTTAAACTGGAATACACTTAATTGAATCTTTCTCTCTCTTGCAAAAATATGCAATATACTCTTGCAATCCAGAAACTGCAACAAAAAAAATAGGCTCTCAACAAATTAATGTCTTTTCAGCAGTAGGGATCTGTCTACCATCGGTTTTTTTTAAAGACCTTTTCTATCAGAGATGGATTTCATTTAAAGTTTCTTGCATGAGGGCTGAGAGTACAGAAAATTTTGTTCCAAAACCCTGTTTTAAATGAAAGAACAAGCTTTAAAAAGCCAAGAGGCTGTTAGAATTTAAGCAATGATGCAGTGGATGTAAATGTTGAACATTCTTTTTATTTGATTAAACAAAGTACCGGTGGACGGAGGCGTCACATTCTAGGATACGGAATCGACTAACTGAGTAAGACGTGTCAAAGTGGCTAGTCTACAGAACTGCAATCTTGCACATTCTCAATCAACTGCGTCGTTGCTCGACGGCTGAAATTAATATTCCAACAGAGGCAACCTATAGTCAATAGAGTATTTTTTCTGAAACCTCTGACAAAAAGATCGCTTCACTAAACAGTGTGAGGAAAAACTAAATTTAGCAGTAATAATCTTTAGAGAGGTATAAAGTATTGTTTCCAGGATGTCGAAGAACTGGAAAATACCAGAATACATTAGGGAATGAAAATCTTTAGAAAAATCAGAAAACTTGTTTTTAAAATCCGTGGTGAAACTCTGGAATTTCTTCTCCTTTCAACCTGGGACTATTCTGTTTTTAAATTTAGTGAGTTGACGTTGCATTAAAAAATCAGACAAAGATGAAAGACAACCCAAGTAGCATTTTTCAATGTAAAAGTTGCAAAAATTTGAAACAATGTTGGTATTAGTTGCAACAAAGTTGCAACTTTTGGTCGATAAGTGCCGATTTTCGGCGATCTGATCGGAAGACAAAGTTACAACCTGCTGAGATTGCAAAATTGCTGCACCAAAGTTGTTTAAAATCTAAAGATAGGCAACCAGCAATAGGTACTTTGAAGTTGAAATATGTTTCAACTTAATTGCAACTAGTTCCGACAATGATAGCTCCTTCGGGGGGGAGGGGGGGAGTAGGCAATCTGCACATCAATCTATTAGTTGCAAGTTGTTGCAACCTCTGCTACTTGGGAATGAATGTTTTGCCCTGACCTCCGTAGACTTATCCAGTTTCCCCTGAAAAATCGGGGGAAACCCTTGGATTTCATGGCGACATTTGCTCCAGATTTATCAAGGAAATTTCAGAAAATTAGGAAATTCCAGAGTTCCAGAATATTTACGAACGTTTTTGTGGCTTTAGGATTCGATGGAGTCTTGAATGATTCTTTAAAGTGCCTCTTGTTTTAATCTTGGCTCCAATCTGGAATCTCCAATCTTGGCTCTTAATCCAATCATCTCTATCTGTCATTCGTTACCAATACTAAAGTATCCTAAATGTCTTCTCTTTAGATATTCCATGTAGATGGAACCTCCCTGTTCGGTGGCATCCAATCATCACCAAAGCATAATGAAGAATAAAACTCTAATTATTTTGCAATGAGACTTGAAAAATTTCTCAAACTTTGCAAAAAAATTCCTTTGTATAGTTCTTGTTTTAATTTTTATAATCCGACCATGCAAGAACATACTAAGTATTCTCAACATACATACATTTTCAATCTCAAAAAAAAGTAACTCTCAAGACTAAAAAGGTTCTTCATTACAAAAACTGAGCCAATAAAATTTGTTTGTAGTAAAAAAATGATCCGTCTTTGCAACATTTCTATATCATAAACACTTTCTCAGTCATGTTTTTTTTTTCAAATGTCAATGATTTCTCTCGCCTCTTTTATCTTGCTACTTTCTCAGCCGATTAGAATGTTTTAACAGGCAACTCCCCTCTCCAAATGATGAATATATAAAGTTTGTAATATCAGAAGAGCACTTATAATCATTAATATTTTTTTTGAAAGAAAATCGTTAGACGTTATCCAAATGCTGTGATCTGAGGGATTCTTTAGAACAAACTTTCTGAAGCTTACAAGGAAGAAGATGGAAGTTTTACGATTTTCTACCATTTAGAGGTGAGCGCCCACCGAGTTTTGCATCAGCACTTCCAAAAATTAATCGTGACTCAAGAGCTACCCTTTGCCAGTTGGAAAAAGAGGAAAGCAAAGTAAATCAAATGCTCCTGAATATTATAGTTTTTGTTAATTTTCAAGTGACAATTATAATTTTTTTTATTCTTCTCAGAAAGCTACAATCTTCTCTGTTAAATGGATTATTTCAATTGACTCGTTATACTTATTAGTCACAATGTTAAGTTTTAGTTAAAACTGTAGCTTTGCATATGTTCAGCACTACTCTAGTGAAAGAGATGTGTCAATAGTTTCAATTAGTGATTGCATCATCTAAAATTTTATGAGATATCACTGAAACTTTGATGCAGCCACTGGTCAGCTCGAAACTCCAATTCCAAGCTTTCAAACAGGATTTAACTTTAAGAGGGTACCGGTTGCCCAAACAGAATTACTTAAGTATTCATATCTTTTTTCTGTCATATTCTCCTTGTGGAAATATGGATAAATACAAGGAAATAATACCGACTTTCCCTGAGGCAAGTAAAACAATTTTGCACACAGCCTGGCATTGCTGAACAAGTGTTTTGCTGCATGTTCATCGAAAGTGCTTGAACTAATTGCGATGAATTACACTCGGAAAAATTTGCCCCATTTCAGACAAATTGTAATGGACTCAGTAGCTTCCTGCTGAACTCGGTTCAACTGGTGAAGAAAGAGGTAGATTCTTTTATTTTAATTTCTCTAACGGCGCTTTGGAGTATGGAATTGGATTTGAATCGAGACACTTGTATCAACGTATTTCTGCCATGATTATATGAAATATGGGATTCATCAATAGTAAATTTCAGGGTTCCGTTGGAGCTTTGCATGTATTTTTTATGCTGTTTCATTTAGTCATAATAGGGGTTATCACACAAGCATTTAATATCTTGCAGAGTATTCTAATTTTTGCAAATTATCATTATGAAATATTCCTCAGCATCCACACAGGGCTTGCCCTCCTTAAAGTCCTCAAAGCCATTTGCAGAACTTTTTCTTTTTATTTTTACTGTATTCCATCTTGTTTTATTCATTAGTTTTCCTGATCAACTGATTTTATGATGTGCCTCTGTTTTTAAAAACAAGCAATGTGTAAAAAGCACCAAAAAAGTCTGCTTACCATCTAAAATTCAGTCAAAATTATGATGGATGAATGGTTCATCTTCCTGTAAAATTCTCAGGTCTTATACAATTAAGTACTGAAATGCTCAAAAATTGAGTTTAACCCCAATGTGTGGCCCCACAATTAATGTTGCATTAAAACCATCTAGCTCTTCTGAAAACATTACAAGCCTCTTTATCTATTGATCAAATGTGATAGTGAGTGGGTATAAGATCATTTTATCGGTAAGTCTTGTGGCAAAATCTTGGAGAGATACCTACCGAATAAAGATGCCTCCTCTCTGATAAGTTTCCTTCTACTGTTAACATGAGTGTGTTATTATATTTCTCGAGAAAATAAATTAAGTCTGTATATACTGGGGCACTTCTCTAATGACACTTTCAGCATGATCCTGTCTAGAATTTGGTAGTCTTTAAGAATTAATCTGTAAATATTAACAACATTTTTCTTCGATTAAAAATGTTTGAATTTATTAACACAAAAATTGAACATTCAGTACTCTCAAGAAGATGGCAATGTATCAAAATTTGATTTCATGAAATTCTTTTCTCACTGTTCTCAGTATTGTGTGAGCGACCATGCTCTGAGCCAGTGCAATTTCTTGGGCTGCCTCTGCCACCAGGCATCTGAGATATATTATACTGGAATTCAATTCGTAAATGATGAGAAAGGCCTTGATTAATTCCGTTTGTTGTGTTACATTTTCAGCACTATGTTTACACCATAGGATTCAGTAGATGGTTTAAATTATCAAGTTACACCATGGTATCGTTCGATGAGTTTATAATTTTCCCCCTTTCACTTACGTAGTTCTTCTTTTAGCATTTGTCATCATCTATTTTTAGTCAAAATGTAATGTACTCTTTTAATTTGATCTCCTTTCATCTTAAAGAAGGTATCTACTTAATATTTTCCATAGCAAATCTAATCTCGCTTGCAAAGCAGTCATTATCAATGATATAGCTCGAATGTTCAAATTACATTCAAAAGAAGCTACCTTTCATTTAAAATATGTATAGTTTTACAGATGGTAGAAACTGCAGTGTGTTATTCTAGATATATTCTTCAATGTAGGAAACTGAATCAATAAAATTCTGAATCATCCTTGATTTGTCCATTTTTGTGGAAAATCAATCACAAAACTGGAACAAGAGTCAACTTTCAAAAGAATTGACGCTTAATGACGCTTTCCTCCCTACAGAGGATTCTAAGTTTATCTGAATATAACATTTTTGGAATGAAAGATTTCCAAGCTAATGAAAATGCCGGACCACCTCAATGAATATTGATAATTATGACAAAATAGGAAGCATTTTTGTTTAACTACTTTTTTATGCTAGATCTCAAAATCACTCACAGTTTGCTTACAAAACAATTGATTTCTCTGAAATTTAAATGGAATACTTGAAACAAGTTGATCAGTGTGACTTGAGTTAATAAAAGCATTTAAAGTGGAACAATATTTATTGGTTGGTTAGTAAAGAGTAATGAACTTTAGCCTGAATGTTTTCTTTAAGTAGGTATGTATGTTCAATTATTTTTCCCCCTTTCGTTCCAAGAAAGAAGTAGTCAATTTTTTGTTTCTAATCTAATTCTAGCTAGGTTTTTCCCCCTCATAGTTAAATCATTTTCAATTCTGATCATAGGGCTTCATCGCTCAAAGCTATTTCATTTTTACAGCTATTAAAATGAATTCCTCCTCAGTTTCTTTGATTTACTCTCTATTATGCTCAAAATCTGCAACTTTTGGTTGGCTTCAGCGTAAAAAAATCCTACACATTTTATTTATTTTTTATTTTTTTGTGAAAACTTTCTTTCATTTCATCAAAGAGTAAAGCAGTATTATTTTGCCCCCAAATTCTGGACTTAAATTATTAATATAATTGATCCATAAAGGCATAAATCAATTAGTAAGCGTAGTTCTCCTTTTCCGAAATTGTTTAGCCTTCCAAAAGAACCAGGAGAATGCCTGTTTAAAATTTTGCTTATGAATTTTATCAAAAATTACTGACAATAATAGAAGGGTAACAATAATTAATCCTTTAGCTACCGAGTGTCCTACTCCGTAACGTATACCCTAATTTCCAAATCAGTAGAAAGTCTTTTTAAATTTTAAAACTTGAAATTTTGAGTGTCAGATTTGTGCATAGTCCTTTAATATAATTATGCGCTAGTTTTAATTTTGTATCAAGTATTGATATTCAATATTAAATTTTGGATTTTATCTAGAAGTTTCTCTTACGTTGCTCAACTAATGAGTGAACTCTTCAATTAACTTCCTGCAGAGCAATGACTTCTCATGCCACGCAGAGGTGCAGACAAATTTTCTAT